CTCTTGCGTATTCAAGTATGCGCGAGCAGTCAAACAAAAGGTCTGAAGCGAGGCTGAAAACGGAGAGCGATACTGAAGAGATCGTGTGAGGCTCGCGCTCTTCGCGCGTGTGAGATTCTTAAGCTACACCAAACCGATTTTGAGAAAAAAAACGACTGTTTTGTAGTCGAATACGATCAAGATTAGTAGACGAATAACCATAACATGGATGCACTTCCTCTAAATCTAAAACGTTTGTATAATGTACGCGTAAATTTAAAAATATCTGGGTTTCGCATGTTTGTACACATCTGGCGAATTGCCATTTGCAATAGGACAACTGCACGATAACGATATTTGACTACAACTACCAGAATTCATTTCGGTTTTGCTTTGTTACTTAAATTTGTCAATCCCGCTGAGGGTTAAAAAACAATAGCCTTAATTTGCACAAGAAAACAACAAACTCAAGGATTCTGGTAGTTGTAGTAAAATGACGTTACCGGGCAATTGTCCTATTGTTGGTTTTTGGGGCGAGAGGAAAACTACCATGCTCTCTTGAAGCAAGAGAGAGAAGGAGCAACACCGTGACGATAAAGAATTAGCCACGAGGGAGAGAAGCATCAACAAACACAACATTACCGTCCGCCTCAGATGAACCCGCGTCACATTGGAGGGAGATAAGTAGTCGAGTACATCCACATATAAATACTCCAGACTGAACTATACAATTCCTTATATAATTAGTTAAGAGACTTTAACTTTCTTGTTCATTACATCATTTTATTAGTTTATTAACCTCGTCGACAAGTTATCCATGTCTAATTAGGGCAAGTGATGATTTCTCTTAGGCCCGTTCTAAACGTCGAACTTCACTGACAAGTGCCGAAATTGACGCTAATTGCGGGCGATAAGAGGGGTACGCAATCCTAATATACAGGTTGTTATTACGCATGCATCGCATGTATGTAGCCTGCATTCGTTTGGACTTAGAATGAATGGAATGCTCATTACGCACGTTTGGCCCTTCTATCACTCATAAACTGATCACGTGTGTTTTAACCATCTGTCAGGTGAAACTTGCGCAAAGCACAGCGTTGAAGGAAAAGCGTCTTGACCTTCGACCGTTGTCGCCCACATTCCGTAACTTTTGGTTTTTACTAGAAGGAAAATTTTATTGTTCTCGCTCATTTGCATTAGATTCTGCACTCATGAAGTTTAACCTTAAAATTACAAGAGATATTGAAACACGCAATCTATGATAAAAATACTAAAATACTCACCTCTAGTCTTTGATAACATATTAGATCCTTCCATCTAATGCTGACTTCTCTGTGTCCAAGTGGGCCATCCTCAAACTGAATGTTCTTGATTACGATATTACCATCCTACAAAACACAACACAGCAAGGTTGTAAGCACAGGATACAAATACAGCAACTAAAACGTCAAACGCAATTCCTTGGCAGAGTCATGCTACCAGAAGCAGGGTTGATTCTAAAAATTGGCCAATGAGGGTCAAATGGGCCCCCTTCTGTAATTGCCAACGAGCCATCCGAGCGAAGACGCTCGGATGGCGAGGCGGCAGCAGAATAGAGCCGCGCAAGACTGGGCAATAGGCAGAAAAAATCTCGATCGAGCTGAAAAAAGTGTAACCTAATGTAATGTAGATTCCCCTGAGACCAAGCGGTCAGTTGTGAACCAATCAAAAGGCAGTACCAGGCGCACGGGCTCAAGTTGAATAACAAACAAAATTTCACACACTTCCCGCCGTCGTGACTTCCTGTGTTTATTTACCTAAATTTTTTCGTCAAACCCGGCCACCGCAGTCAAGAGACATGAGCACTTGATATATTCTATTAATTTTAGGGGCCATAATGTTAAGTTTTAACGAAGAGAAGTTTGTAAAACAGCAAAAGTGTTCCATGTGCAGCAAGCAATATTCTCACCACTAAAAAGGATCAGATTACACGAGGAGATTAGGAAAGCTTGACACGAAGAATGCAGTCGCTTCTGTTGGAAAATCTGGTGTTGGGGAAAAAATCTAACCAGCAAACAAAAACAATGAGAACAAAAACGAATTACAAGCCTAAAGCGAACGACAAAGGAAAAGAAAACAACGCCATTTTTTTCGAAACGTGGCCGAGTTCAGTATAAAAATAATGAACTAAAATTAAATACCGACGTGCCGTACATCGCATGTCCTTGGAAACATTTCAGATGGCCCAGCAAATCATTTTAAGTTTCAATCCGATAACAAAAAGCCTCCGGAAATTTGAAAGGAGGTTTAAATGATTAAACTGTGCAAATGTTTATCAACAATGTGAAACCGAACCGACAGTAGATTTGTAGCTGGACTTAATAATATTCCCGATCGCTTCCTCTGCAAAGCTGACTTTATTCTTTCAAGGCACTTCACACTTTTACATAGCAGGTTTGTAAAGCCACTGAATCTGAGAACTTTTCAAGAAAATAATCCTTGCAACAGGAAGGGACCAACAAACGGTCAAATGGGAAAAAAAGGAATTTTATTCCTAAGCAAAATACGCATGATTTGCTCGTTGGCACTCTATCGATAGGTATACCGAGTTTTAGGGGGCCTTTGTTCAAGAAAGGGGGTCCCCAAAAGGTATTTGAACTTATTGGTACAGACTGTTCCATGGGAAAACGAACCTTTATTGACGCGTTGCCGCCATTTTGGAACATTCTGGGCAACTGAAAAAGCCTGGGCTCGAATTACTGTAGAATCCCGGATGTTTGTCTGGTGAAATAATGACTCAAACGAAGAAGAGAAAGGCAATGGAGACAGTAAGAGGCTATAAAAGTTCGAAGTAAGTTTAAAGAGCGGCCGTCAAATCAGTGTTGTTGTCAGTAATGTTTTTGAATACTTCATTTCAAAGAATAGTACTTATCCTTGGGTCTATTTTCTTGCGCCCCGTTTGACGCGGCAACGTATATTTTATGCGGCATTTTTTTCCAAATTGCGGAAATCCCGCAAGGCCGCGCTGTAGAATAAACCCTGCAGAAGGGGTTAAATGCAGTTATCATTCACTCAAAATATTTCACCATTTGATATGGGCTCAAAACCCCCGGCTAATTCTTCATAACTAACTGGCATTGACCAAATTTGGAAGATGCGAGGCCTTCAACCTCGGTGGATAACATCCTCCTCGATTCTTCACCTCCTACTCAGCCTCATTCAGTAATTGCTAATTGTACAGATAAGTTATTGTGATTTTCTTATAACAAGCCTGGCTCCAGTTCTTCAAAGGGTGGATAACCCTATCCGAAGGAAAAATCTCTTTCTACTGGATATAGCAATTGGTTTCCCGCTATCCCTCTTTTTGAAGAACTGGGGCAGGATGGCATTAAGTGGAGACGAGAATTCATGTATTTGGAAACTACTAAAGTAAAACAAAACTGTCTCCCCACCATCATGTCAAACGTTACTTTGAAAAACTGTTAGCCTAACAAGTTTTCAAAAACCCCAATTGCAATCCGTTTCTATCTTATTCAATTTTGTCCAAGCCTACCTCCTTTTGTACTTTGTGTTATTTAATCCTTCTTTTAACGTTTTGAGTGGTTACTTTTGTTTCACTATATCTGGTGGCAGTTCTCAATGTTTGAATTTTGAAAAATTTCGTGACAAAGCCCCTTTAACTCGAAATTAGCATTTCCACCATTTTGGGTGACTTCCAGTATGTACAACAGCTTGAGCACGCAGCCAATAAGTAGACTCCTTGCAAGAATGAATGACAAAAAGTGTCGGTTATCAGAAAAAATCGGCCGGTACTTACTGCCGTGAATCCCAACTGGACTTCTCGTTCTTTCAGCCCGTCTGATGAAACATGAAACTCTGGCAAGACGTGGTTGGGAAGCTAAAAGAATCCAGAGAACGAAAAAAGGGGAAAAAATGGTTTGAAACCGACTAATGAAAAAGAAACGATTGTACATGAATACTGTAGGAGGAAGCATAACAAAATAGCAAATGACAAGACAATCAAGCAAAACATGATGAGGGTGATGGCCAACAAGCCTGGCAAACATGTTACAGTTTTTTTTTGACAAATTGAAATAAAAGGAAAGGTATGCAATTTGTTCAGTCCACCTGAGGAAACATAAAACTCTGGCAATACGTGGTCTGGAAACTAGAGAATACACGGAAGAAAATAGGAGTGAATCACTAAAAAACTGACGAATCTGAACGAGAAAAACTGTCCATGAAAACTACAAAACAACACAGAAAACGAGAAAACAATCAAATAAATTTGTTGATTAAAAAATAAAACGAATTACTGAAACAATTGTTGCAGATTGGTTTTGTCAAAGAAAAGATGTTCTGAAAGGAAATTCCTCACCTTGCCTGTTTTGTTGCCATGTTTATCAGTTGCTGACAGAATAATATCTGATGCTAGAGGCTCTCCTAATCTCATGCGAGGTTCATTGCATGAGCACTTCAAGATACTGGGAGCGTCGGCATGGGGTCTGTAGACAGGACGTGACCGAAATTAGACAAATTGCTTTGTTGTTTTTCTAAACCAGCTTAAGGGACAACCACAATGGCAACGACAAACGTGAAAAGAGTTGTTATGGCCGTTGTCGAGTTAGTTGCTTAACTTCCCTAAATATTCGCAAGACCAACTCAGATTCTCTAATTGGCTCTGACAACTCGCCTAGTGCTCAAAATAATGGCTGGAAACGTCAGTTCAAAACTTTATATTCGTAGAATGATATTAGCACATTTAAAGGAGAAAAGGATACTGAAAAGGCAATGCATGGATAAACTGACTTGACGTTCATGAAACCAACCTCTTCTTAAGTCAAATCACTCCCAAAGGGAGTTATTAAAAGAGAGATTAGTATCCTGAGAGGTAAGTTACAGGCAACTAACAGCCATGGTAAGCGGCTTAAAGCTATGTCCGTCTCCCTGGCTTCAGTGTCTGTTGTAAGAAGGTCCACTGTACTGTCACTTTTATACAATGTTGTTTCTCCCTCGCTTAAGTCTGGCAAGAAGTCTTACTTTGCAAAAACGTTCATAGTGATGGGTGTTACCTTAACGTGAAGGAAAACTCCAGTCCTGCTCCACCAGTCATACTAACTTGGCAGTATTTTGGTTCATCACAAGAAAGAGGTGCCTACAAAGAACACACAAATGACAATACTTTCACCTCAAAACAAAAAACTTAGCCTGGAAAGAGCACTGTATGTTTTTTCAGTTGATGCAGCAAAACGTACGTTACATGTATGTGTTCGCTTTACCTATGGCTATCATCTATACTTTTTGGAATGATCATTGTTTGGAAACTGAAACTTTGATTTATAGAAAATAGTGACCAAAACATTCAACAACAAAAGCAGCTTGAAAAGCTTAACCCATTCGCTCCTGGAGATTTTGCCGAAAAACGCGTTTTGAAGCTAGTCGAGTGGTTTTCTGGTCACTGTCGTGCTATAAAGAGCTAAAACTTACCAGAAACCGGTTTACAGGTCGTACACTTCGCGGCCTTCTGATCCAGAGGCAAAATATCAGCTTGCGAAGTTCGGGCATGCGCAGAAAGCAAAATTTTATAGGTTTGGGGTTTAAAAGTGACACAGCAGTCTTGACTTTTACTTTTCGCTTTCTCTCCTCCCTTCTTTTTTCGCTTTTCTTGCCTCGTTTTTTTTTTCTCTTGCTGGGCATTTAGTAGGCTTCATTTTGGTGAGAAGAGTTTTTAGGAAAGCTTTTAGGATCTTAGGATTAGGTGAAAGGAAAGGTAGGTGAGCAATGCAACAAGATTTTCATGGAGATTTTCAGGTCAATGTCACGTGGTTTTTTGCTTCTTTCTCCGGTGTCCTTGACTGAATTGTGCTCATTCTGGTATGGTTTGAAAGATCTCTTCACTCTACACAAGTTAGCGAAGAAAGTTTCCTCGACCGTTAAAACTGATGACGTCACAAAGGGTAGAAAGGACCTGGATCCGCACGGGCGGTTACGGGCGGTTCAGGGGCGAATGGGTTGATATGGAAAAGGAAAAGAAACCATATTTTACGTCGATATGACAGTAACTCAACTGATAAACTTGAGGTCGACAATGCACTCATTTTACCCCTCTTTCTTCATCACACTTAATTTAAGGGGTATTTAAAGCTAGTTAAAGCTACACAGGAAGGAGAGAAGCTGGATCAAGGATGCGATGTCACCGGGGACCTTGCGCACTGAAGGTCGCGCACTAACCAACTGTTGCTCCATGGAAGCTTAAATCGTCACTTACAAACCTATTTTCACTAAGTCCTATAAATTACCTTCACATCAGGAAGAATCCCTTGCTTGATGATGTCTTTGGCAACTTTAGGAGTCCAGTTAACCTGGAGAAACAAGAAGACAAGTCATCACATTGATAAACAATAAAAGTTTACAACTGCTAATTCACACCAAGGGCACTTACCAAAAGTCCACCAAAAGTCAAGACCGTTCGTCTTGAAAACGATAGAGTAGACATTCTTTCTTTTTTAATAATAATAATAATAATAATAATAATAATAATAATTCATGTATATAGCGCTATTAATACTAATTATTCATAGCGCTTTACAATTTTAAACCTTATACTAACTATAAAATAGTTTTTACAATTTCATCCCACCATTCTAATTTCTACAATTATATATAATTAAAAAATAATTACTGATTACAACTTACACACTACAAAAAAAATAGAAAACAAAAGAAAATACATAATAGTACGCAAAATAATAAAGCAAATGCCCATCTAAAGATAGGCCATTTTAAAAAGCATTGCCTTCAGTCCTGATTTAAATGCTTGTATATTTGACGACATGCGCAACTGAAAAGGCAGTTCATTCCATAGCTTAGGAGAGCAGACAGAAAATGCTCTATTGCCATAGGTAACAGTTCTGGATTTAGGAACACTAAGCAGATGTTGAGACTGAGATCTAAGATTGCCGGTATATTTAGGCTTATTAAGTAGCTCAGATATATATTCAGGAGATAAATCATTAAGCGCTTTGTAAGTCAGCAGTAGCACTTTAAACCTTATACGATAGGAAACAGGGAGCCAATGTAGTCTAACTAGAACGGGAGTTATATGATCATATTTACAAGTAAAAGTTATAATGCCAGCCGCAGTATTTAGTACTGAAAACCAACACTGATGTGCACAGAATTTAAAAATAGACTATTCTGGCTGGGCAGTGGGCTGGTCTGGCAGATGGAAAGCGCACTAAGTTTGCTTATGTGAAGATGTGTGTTATTCCTATTTCCTAAAGAGCCTTGATTGTTGAGTTGACATGCCGACCTAGTGGATTGCGTTTTGTTGTCCAATTTCCTTTACTGAAATGTTCTGTCTTTGACCGTGCTCACATTGTGGGTGGCTACTCGTTTTCTACAATGGGCCTTTTCCGATTGCCTTCAGCCTCTTTATAAAAGAAACTCCTGTTATTGGTCATTTCATAGCGGAGCCCCATAGCTAAGAAAATTTGGTTACCTACCCATCCGAGAAATTATGGTTGTCACATGACCGTACGGCCAACGACCCGCCAGCCCGCCCGCCCGTCCGCACTACAGGGAAAGCAATATGAAATGCTACACTTTCCAGCTAGTTTGGGAGCCTGCAACCTGATATTGCACATCCATGTTGTGGTCAGTTGACAGCTGTCAAAGCAGGGTATCTGCTGACCAGTATCACCTGACCGTATCGCGGGCTCAGGTGTCGACCCATCGAGGTTACGTCTTCTTTTTAATTTAAGTTTACCGCTGACAAGTTTCCAGTTTTCAACTGATTGCAGGCTCATCTCTACCTGGATTTCTTTATTGAAAAGTTTTTTTTTATTAACAGGAGCTTCGCCTTTAGCCCCGGCTAAATCTATACATTATGGAAATAAGTTTTCATTCACACACAAATTAATTAAACTCATGTTCGCATGGATGATTGTGCACCAAGCCTTGCTTTGATAAAGATCTGATGGTTTGCTCAGCAACCTGAAAATGTACTATTGGTATAAAATTTAATTCGCTACTCTAGAAACTGGGCTAAGTTAACTGTCGCAAAGACTTTCGTACGGATATTTACATAGGAGCAAGCGAATTACTTATATCCTTTCCATTTAGAATGACTAAGACCTGTCTTGGATCTACCTTAAATCTGCTGGCTAGGGAGTTGTCTATTGTTACTTCTCTCTGTCCTTCATCCAGAATTCTAAAACCTGTCGGTGACAGCAAGATGCTACAGTTACATTTGCAACATTAACTTGCCCTTGCAATAAGAGATAGAACTTTAACAACGTCTTCGCTACCGTCGCCGTCCTTGGATATGATCCGACAACGGCGACTTCCATGAAAACGTCGCTGAAAAACAGACTTCGCGTCATTTCAAACTTTTTCGCGATTATCCCAATTCGCCCTGTTACTTAAAAGAAGGGGATTTTGGCTGGAGCTGAAGAGAGGGGAACGCGTTCAAGTTCGGACAGAGATGGTAGAATTTATCGCCTTGCCGTTCCCGTTCCCAAGTAAACTTAAAATATGGTTATTTCACGCCGTAGTTATGCAGTAAAGGCAAAGAAATGTACAAAAAAGCGTGATGCACGTGCAGAGTTGTTGTTTTGCTCATTAAACCTATTGTTTTTTTACGTTCCCGTTGCCGTTGTCGTCGTGGTTTCGTAAGGTCCCTAATGACGAGAAAAAGGCTAGGCTGGGTTACATTTAACCAACTTTGGAAGAAACCAGGTCGTGACACTGACAGCTGGCAGAAGATAAAATGTGACTGCAAATTGAACTAAACCAACAAAAGAAGAAAATTGACTGATACACACTGAGAAGGAAACTAGACCAATCAAGTTGACGTTCGCAAAGACTTCTGGACTGTTACTGACAACAGGGAAAAAAATTGGCCAATAGCTGACGGTCGTGTCCCCAGTAACAATCCTAGAAACATTTGCGGGACACGTATGGGCTCAAATCCCCTTCTCGTTTCTAAGGAGGCGAATGGACAGTTTAAGTAACTACGAAGGCGTCACCAGTACAGTGAAGACTCGATCTTTCAAACTTAATCGTGATAGCAACTTGCTCATGACCAATGTTCTTATGGACACATTGTAAGGGACCACTCCCAAGTTATAAAGAGAGGAAAATGTATCTTCATATGTTCGTGCCCCCATTTAAGTTCGCGGGAAATTTCGCGTTAGAGTTCTGCAAAGGATAGCGGGCGAACGCAGACGTGTTTCCTGTTCGGGTGGAGAGAAGCGACGACCGGAAATACCTTTGCGTTTGCACCAAAAAGTGTGACGTGTCGTTAATATCGAGTTCAGTCAAGGCAAAACCTATTGATTGCTTGTTTCTTATTATTTATCGTTGCATAAACTTCCTAATTTTTAGCTGATGTGGTCATGCCTCTATGATAAGGAGTAGCATTTTGGTGCACCTAAATGCCTTTCCTCTTTTTAAACCCATATTTTCTCTTTTCTAAGCCTGAAGATTTTTACGTGATATTTGTCATAAATACCACTCGTGATATTTCAAAGTAGTCTCAAATTTCATTCGTGGTATGTATAGGTAATAGCATGATTTGTAGTGATATTTGGCATAAATACCACGAGTGATATTTCGAAATTGTTATACGTAATTTCACGAGCCGTTAGGCGAGTGAAATTTGAGACAATTTTGAAATATCCCGAGTGGTATTTATGCCAAATATCACTACAAATCATGCTATTATTTGTTTATACCACTACCCGCAAAAGGTTTGTAATTTTCACATGTAGGTATTTCAAATTAAGCTGAAATACCACTGCTCTAAGCCAATCAAATTGCAGAAATTTCTCATGTAGTGGTATAATTATGCCAAATATCACTACAAATCATGCTATTACCTATAATAATTCCCTACGCAACTTAAGGCTAACAAGGGCGAAAAAATCATATCAAACTAAGTACACTGATTTCTGGTTTATCACATACTCAGTCCAGTAAGTGTGTTTCCTGCTGTGCAAGGCAGCTCCTGTCCATCGTCCAGCTTCTTCTTCTGTTTCGCATCAGGAAATTTGTAAAACACTTCCAGCTCTGCTGCTTTACTACTGGGTGTCACAATAATGGTCTTTTCCACTGCTGCAACCTCTTTATGATGCTAAAAGATCATTACCAGTCACTAAATCAGGGCTACTGTTGTGTGTTTTACAAAAACGACAAACAAACATGCTAAGGTTCGGGGTGTTGGTCAGCCAAGCCCAGATACAATTTAAAGATGTAAAGTAAGAACTTTGCGACTACGCATCACACCCTGCTGACAGTGCCTTCCTTTAACTTTCTCGATTTTGGCGTATTTGAGAAAGATTCCGCACAAATCGAGTAAGCTTGTTGTTGTACATGAGGTAATTGTTGCTGATAAACTTTTTTGAACCCAGGCCTAAAAGCTGTGCACACGGTACAGTGGGTTTAGGTATGGCCATCACTTCATCAATAAACGGTCGGTCGCACTTGGAAAACCAGTTTGACGATAGAGAACAACATTGACTGGTCCAGATGTTCTGGCTTCAGCGACTTCACTGGGATCATGCGAATCAGACAGAACCTCCTTTTTTTCCTCCTCACTTAAGAGGACAAAAGCAGGCTCTGCTCGTAGGGTGATAGTAGAGAGGTTTAGATTCTAAGACGAGTACGAGATTTTCTCAATACAAAGTAGGGCTTGCGCGTGAACCAGCCTCATTTTGGCGGGAAAACGTGGTAGCCGTCGTCACTCTACTACGAATTCTAGCGCGAATGTCGCGGTGACGAAAACAAGTTATCAAATGTTGGAAGTTTTATTACTTTGGGATTGAAAGAGCGCGTAACCTCCTTTACTTAAGATAACAGCGCTAACGTTTCTAGTGAAAAATGTTAAAATGAAGCTTTCCGGGGAGTCTATATTTTGAGAATACGCGAAAAAACTTTAAGTCAAATCTCGCACTAGTAGTCGTCCTCGTTCTTGAATCTAAAGGTCTCTGGTACCAAAGCCAAAAGGGACCATCACCATTTCCCTAATCAAATGACAAACCTGTAACTCTATCTTGGCCTTTAGTTTGGTTTCCTTGGTGATCTGCTTCAGACTGATGTCAGCGCCTGTTAGGGAGGCCTTCCCAGATGCACTGCAGTCTCCTATGTAAGTTGGTAAGCCTGGTGTGTCTGTCAGCTACAACACACGTAGTTGTTTCTTATCAAATTCAAGTTTTACAATAACAAAGCGATTTTTCACACGCTGATTGGTCGAGAGCTGTGCTCGATGAGACTCGGAAATGAAGTGAAGATGGCGTTATATATTTTTTTCTCTTTCTCTCTCGCGCGATTTCCCTACAATCGGCCACAAAATTAGTTGAGACGCTTTGCCCTAAAGGGCCTCTCTGACCCCCTCCATGCAACGTTGTACCGCTGTTCGAGCTACCTGTTGAAAACAAGAAACACCCCAACTTTGAATCGACGGGATGGGGGAGGGGTACAGATTGTTTTGTTCTCCGAGGTTATCCCATTTGAGGATAATGTCTCAACAATTTTGTCGTCGATTGTAAACTGCAAAGTAGGTGTATTTTGCACTGCGAACGATGATACTATAAATGATCTCCTGCCATCTGGGACATTGCTTTTAACATGGCAGCCGCCTTCAATGTACCTTTTTGTTAAAAAAAATTAAAACAAACAAATAAATATGATTTCCCAAGAAACATCATCAGAAATGGACATCAGTGTTATCGAAAAAAATAATGACAATTTTTCATGGTCGGTACAATTAACGACCATAGAAATGACAGTTGAAAACTTTGCAGCACGCCTTCGGCTCGTGTTTGAACATTTTGACGTCATTTCTATGATCGACAAGGGAATAGACCATGGAAAATTATAGTTGATTTGTTATTCTCCATACAAAGTGTACTGCAGGTGAAGTTTCTGATCAAATTTTGGTTCTAAAACTTCAGCAAGGTCAAGCTGATATTCACGGGGCTCGAGACAGCAGTAAATGTAGATTATATTTAGCTTGCCTACAATAAAATAATACGAACAGTCTACCGTATGTGGGAAACAAGGTATGAGGTTCTTTGTGTATTCTCCAAAGCTCAGAGCTATCAGGGATTTTCAAATATGTAGTTGCAATGAACGTCTAACAATCGTCAATTTGCTTGAACAGAGTATACTCAACGCCTCATGACTCCTTAACAAAGTTGTGGAACCAGCATTTTAAAATTGAAGTTCTAATGTTAGGAATAAGGAGCAATTACTCCACAGTTAGTTAAATCACAACGGGGTGAACATTAGCATAGCTACCTTGCAGACAACATTAAGCCTTGGTTGAACTGTTAGGTTTCCCGCCTTGTCCTGGACCTGCACTTGTAGCTGTAGGGCACTGTTGTTTTCAATGGTGACCTCACTGTCATTTGGTGTGACCGCAAGGGATTCTGGTGGGCCTGCAGCACAAAACGTGTTTCAGTAAACAGAAACAGTCATGCTGACGTGAGTCAAAAATTGGAGTGAGAAGGGGGCGAGCACGTTACGGTAAAACCCTACAGCCACGTTCAGGGCGGAAAAACGTAATGAGCATGCGTGAACTTTTTTTTCCAGATCCCCTGGCCGGGTTTGAAAAAATGGCGGGATTTCAAATATTTTATTGCCTAAAAATAAGATGTTTCCACTCATAACCTGGAAAGAACAGGCAATTTGTCTTCAAAAGTTACAAGCTGTGGTTATAACCTTGTCGTTACTTAATTTTCTCGAAGAATACCTCATAGTAAAACGGACTTTAACGACATCAATTTCCTTGCGTTGTACTGGAAATGTGCATGCGTAGGTCCGATTTTTTTCAAGATGCATTCACAAAATGTGTTCATATAAGGAAGTTCCTGGATATATAAGGTCCGGAGCTCCACTGTGGACACAAAAACCAACATATCTTTGGACAGTGATTTGCCCAAAAAAAAATTAACGCTTGCCCACAATGTGTTTGAAGGCACTGAACTTGTCGCACTCGAGCTGATATTTTAAAACCCTCGCTCGATCGGACACTCGTAGTTTCGCAGATAACTAAAATATAAACAAAATGCTCAATGTAGAAGTTATTGCGTTGATATGCGGGCAGAAAAAAGGTCAGTCTTTATCTAGTAAAATCTTCCCAAAAATCGGTTTTAAAGCAACTATAGTTTATTTTTAAACTTGATCGTTTCGCGTACTAAGATATAAATATAAATTATGCTTTGTGTTGTCAAGTTGAAAATACATAACATCTGTCAAAAACCTACACGTTAGTAGGATTTCCTTCAAACAAAGTTAAAATTACATTACTGCAAAAACTTCTTGCTGACAATGAAGAAATGAATTTTTTGTACGAAAACAACCTACCTAAAGATCTTAAAAGCAAAAGATCAGTTGCAGTGAGCTTCGCAGCTAAACCATGATTCACCATGTAGCTCTTGTCCTGGCTTTAAAAACTCAGTGAATAACTGGTCCATGTGAGGGTCTTCATTCAAACAAATTAAACTCAGCCAATCGTTACAAAATTCAGAAAACTGCACATAAGGGTATTTGTTTTGCTCGCTTCAGACAAATCCAGCTCCAGCAATTCAGTGTTGCGGGCAGAGTCAATTGTTTTGAAGTGACTGCCGGCAGTTGTCCTCTACTTCACAGCGAGTGAAATGGAAAATTTGCGTACAGAAAGTTATTTCTTATAAAGAACAGAAACTTTCACAGTGCAGTGGAAAACAAAACTATGTAATTAAAAGTGAAGAAAACTCTGACTACTTATAGTATTTGAGCAACAGAAAAATGATTCTTTTCTTCTAGAGTAAGTTTACTGGCCTTCTCCCGGTATTTCCGAGAAAGTTTTACGGCGCACAAAATGGTTCTTTGACTGAAGAGAAGGATAAAGCTGGTTCTACAAAGGGAATAAATCTGGGCATGTGAAAAAGTATTTACTAATTTAAAAAAAGAGTGGGTTTTAATTCAGCCCGGCGAAAGAAGGCGAAATCAACTCACAAATAAATCGAATGAACAATCAAAGAAATACTCGCCTCTTTGGAAATGTTCAAAACTCTTTATTCCACCTCAGACTGACGGAATGATCCGTTTTTCCTTTAACATTGGTTGTTCCGAGTCCAAAGTAATTTTCAAGTGACGAAAAACAAAAACCACACAAAAGTAAAAAGGCTTTTCGAGGAGCAAACGTTCACACCTTGTGCATTTCATTCAGTCTTAGTCAGAACTCTCTCAGTGACAAACAAACAAACTGTACAGGGCCGTACAGTCAACACACAGAAAAGCCCGCCTTGAGCCTGCGATAAAGGATGCGCAGAAGCTTGCGCAGAACGTTTTTCCGCCCTGAAACAGCCACGTTGCCTTGTGAGCTACGTTCTACTGGGATGAGCCGGATCAGGATCAGTGATCAGAGATCAGAGATCATTCGGACCACAGCACATTAAAGGAACCGACAAATCAACCCTGGAAAAGGATTCTTTGGTTCATTTGATGTAGCATGATCCGAGTGATCCCAGATCACTGATCCTGATCCCGATCAACCCAGAGGAACGCATCCTTTTTAGACAGCGTCTCTTTTTTTTTTTAAAGGAAAATTTACATGCTGGTAAAAATTGTAAATTGTAATTTGTATTACCCAAGGAGCACTTAAGAGTTCTTAAGAACTCGATGAAACGTGTCCGTGGGTTCTAGATCGAATTAGAATTTGAAAGTGTTGATTTTTAAGGAGAGGTAAAAACCGGGTACCGGAGGAAAAACCTCCCGGAGCAAGGGAGAGACGCAACAACAAACTCAACCCACATATGGCGTCAAAAGAGTACCTGGAAGTAACCTGATCTTCAAGCTCTGCGAACCTTCTTCAAGTCCTGGTAGGGTGATCTTTAGATTAAAATCCTTTTACAACAAACAAACAAACAAAAACTGTTAAGATAAATTTAATGTAAGTTTGAGATTCTGAATCATGAAGGCTACTGACGATATCGTCGTACTCTATTTTATTACGAGAAATTGAATCACATCGGCCAAGATTTTTTCCAAAAAACCCCTCACCTTTCCTGCATGGGATGGTACAGAACCAAGGGCCACCACGCCCTTAACGATCAGGCTGTTTCCCTTTACTGATGTTCCCTGGTGAGTCAACTCCAGTCCGCTAACAATATAAACAAGTTATGTTATTCCGTTGAAGGCAAGATTGACTTTAACACCAAGGTTACAAATCCACGTTTCATTAAAAATTTATCAAAAATTAATACACTCACCTTGCACTTAACACGGGTGCTTTTTCCTCTGACAACTTTGAAGGGTTGTTAAACTCATCCAGCAAATTCAGTGGAATCTTAACCAAAAAAACATAGTATTCTATATTTGCTATTCTAGACTAGCTAAACCTTGTTACCAACCTCTAGTGACATATTGCTAGGGGTACTTGGATAATATTTTGCTTATTATGTGTTGCTGGCCTCTTAGAACCCCTTCACAACTATAGGCTATTCTGTGGCCAATTATAGACTCCACCTTAGTCACTTTTGGGCAAAGATAATTTTCTGCACAATCCCAACTTCCCATTTTTAAGCCCCTTCTTATAATGATTTTAGGGAAAATTCGCCTACACTTGCCATTATCAGCAAATTGGAATAAACGCGACAAAGATTTAGAAAACGGGAATTCAATTTAAAACTGACGTTTTCGCTGCCGTTGCCGTAGGGAGGATGTCGTAGTGGCGAAAACAGGTTATCAAATGTTAGGAATTTTATGATTTAGCGATCAGGAGAGGGCTTAACCTCCTTCAACGGAAATAAGCCTGCTAACTTTTGTGGTTAAAAAAAAGTACAATGGTAAAAGTATCATGGTAAAAAAAAACAGTAATAGTAACATTGGAAACAAAAGCAATAACAAACAAGTAAAACTAACAAGTGTAAAAACAAATTTCTTAACTCCTGAGAGAGGTATTTTGTGCAAATGGAGACCTAATTTTTTGTTGCAGTTTTATGAGTCAATGCTTGATTAAAAAAGAGGAAAGCTCATTGCTACGAGCAGCCAGCAATGCATACTACGAGCCCGCCACAAATCATGTACTTCTCCTTACAATGTAAAGCATTTATCTCTTACCATGCCAAATGACCTTTAACTCTACCAACAGTCTTCTTCTGTCACCAGGCAGTTTGTTCACAGATTCACCCTTTCCGTTCAAAATCACCACTTTCATGGCAACTGATTAAGAAATGGAAAATACACCGTTTAAGTTGCTACCAGGCTATGTACATTTCAGTCTGAATATTGTCAACGTTTTACATTTAAAATATGCAATAAAATTCATACTAAAATGGCTAGCCATGGAGGTATGCATGATGGGCATCAATTTGGAAAAATTAGCATAACGTGAAAACAGTGAAAATTGTAACGCGCATTTTTGGCCGGTTTCGTAGGCTAAGTTTCTCTTGAAATACAGTAAAAACCCCAAGTTTTTCCAAGTTTGGCAAAACAGGTTCTTATATTTGTGGGTAGTTATTGGCAATTTAGGTTAAAGTAGGTTCGTAATTAGGTTCTTACGTTTTCAGTAGAAACCTTTCCTGTACAAGCAGAAAAAATAGGTTTGGTCCTTTAAGATACAGCATTTATTTTTAACTGTCTTGTCATGAGCCTTGTGCAAGACTAACTAAACAATTATATACACTATAAACAAAGTATCTGTATACTTTTTAGTTAAAAATGCTTATGAAAATATGCCATAACTCACCTATAAGAACCTAATATATTTTGCTTGGCTAAACAGGTTCTTATATTTTGGGGTATAACAATGGGAAATTTCTGCCAGTAGGTTCTTAAACCGCTAGGTTCTTACACGCGGGTTTTGACTGTATCAAGGTGTTGCAGTGAATTAATCTTAATGAAAGTTTCAGACGTTGTTATCACATCATGAAGATTATGTGATGAGGTTTAAAAAGAATTCTGTCGAGCCGTTTTGGAGATAACACAGATCAGCGCTCAAAGTCAAAATTTAGAATAAAGTTGCACTTAGACAGGTGGTGAAAAATCAGGTTAGCAGCCTTCTGACACTACTTAAGGTTAATGTGAGCTACTGAGAACTTTTTTACTAAACATTTTATCACGGCTATTGAAAATGTAAGGTTTGAAATATACTTGTGTTTTATCTGAATTCAAACATACAGAATTTTTTTTCTTCTCACGGAGGTTATTTGCCAACACCACACCTGGTGTCGGACTTTCAATAGCAGGTCTAGACCACGCAAAATTCGGATTTTATCGATTTCAAAGTTTTTTGTTTATTGTTGTCATGGTGATATCGATTTTACTTAAAACTGCATTTTGACAAACTTTAATTCATAGTTAATCACTGGTGAAAATGTTGTAGCGATCGGACAAGGATAAAATCACTTTTAAGGTGATTGAAAAACATCGGTATGGTCTCCCAAAAACTGTATCGAAAACCTTAAAATGTGACAATATGTAAAAAAGATAACGATAAAGTACGATAAAGAAAGACATGCTGCTTGCTCTGGTGTAAATCCATGTCAATGGGCCTAAAATGGTGCTAATCAAAAGAGAACCAATTTGTGTGGTAGATATTGGTATCAAATCACGATCAATTGTCTAGAAAATTAAATTAATTTTCAAATTGAAACTGCACAAAGCTGTAGCTACCAAGAAAATTGTCTAATACAACAGATTTTATCGAGAAATACGCACCTATGGTGGTTCCTGCTGGGATCTTCGAGTTAGGATCCAGCTTGTCATCCTCAGACCATTCTAAAACCAGTTTACTTGGCAACCTGAAAGAATAATTTTATACTTCACGTCACGCTTCACACAGCAATGATAAAAGGTTTTCTATTTCGGAAAGGTAATAGCCAATCAGAAAATACCTACCATATTCGCAAAAGTAGGTGACGTCACCGGACGGCATTATAACGTCGGGAATGCCCCGCGCCCCCTACGTGTTAGGGGTGGAGACGTATAACATTTCAGACTACTAGTCAATTTACAGCGCCAAAACCATGAAAACCATTCGCTTAAAGTCTGTTGATAATTGCTTTATTTGATTAATTGCTAGAAAGATCAGGATGGTAAAATTATTCCTTTAAAGGTAACTATTATGAGAATTAAGACGGAATCTACCAGGAAATTGAGTAATTTAAATTTTCAGTGGACAAAAATCTTGTATCAGAATAATTTAAACAATATCGCATTCTTTTTTACATTTTTCAAGGGCTGTAGATATAATTAGTTATCTGTAATAACACCCAAGATTATTTCTCATGGGAGCCCGAGAAAATAAATATCAAATTACACAAGAATTGTGAAAGCACAGGTAAAATTCTGAAAATTTCATAAGTAAGATGTCATTTTGTGAAATTTGACATTTATTAAACCATTCGTTAGAGCTAGTTATCAGCTTACTTTGCTTCTTCTTCCTCCACGAACTTTTTAATTGTAGAAAGGCTAAGTGAGTGATCCAGCTTGGCCAGGAAGAAGAATTTTGTGTCTCCATACAAAGAGACTGGCTCCTAGCATGGAAATTTCAACAAGAAACAAGTTTAAACATGTAAATTTAATGTTACTGTTATTTGAATTTTAATTGTTAACGGTCAAGAACTTTGTCAGCTAACTTGAAGAGATCTTTCAAATCATACCAGATAAGCACGATTCAGTAAAGGAGGCCGAGGAAAAGGCAAAAAACAAAGAAACGTTGACGCGAAAATTGCCATGAAATTCTTCTCCCACTACCCATCTACCTTTCCTTTCATGCTAAAAGCTTTCCCAAAAACTTTTCCCGCCAAAATGAACCCTGCCAGTTGTAAATGCCCGGTAAAAAAAAAAAAACAAGGCAAGAAAAGCGAAAGAAGAGGAGAGGAGAGAAAGCGAAAAGAAATAGTCAAGACTGCTGTATCACGGTTAAACTTTGCTCTCTAAGTATGCCCAAACTAATAAGAAGGCCGCCAAGTGCAGGACCTGTGAAGGGCTTTGCGGCATGTTTTATCTCTTGACAGCCAGACAGTGACCAGAAAACGGCTTGACGCGTTTCCAGCAAAATTCCCAGGGGTGAACAGGTTAATAATTGGACCACAATTTTGGACTGACTACAGTAGTTATTTCCAAAGTGAAAAAAACAAACAAACTTAGGAGAGTTGGTTTCTCAACAACAACGACAACGTTTCATTTTCCGGTACCTGTACCTAGAATTAATACTAACTAATATTATCATTAGATGAGTATCTGGAACATCCCACGGTCCTTAGACTTGCTGCAAGTCGACCTCACGAGTTTCTTAATGAGCGGAGCGAGCTATTTAGCAATTAGCTGTAGGCTCCAAGCCATTGGGAAAATAGATAATAGCGAGTATAACGTGTGATAAATTAAGCTATCTTTTAGAAAATAATATGAAAGAGCTGTCAAGATATTAACAAGAAGGAGTTGCACAAGAACTGCTCAAATTAGAGTCTAGAAAATCACTTATAAGAACCTTTAGGTTCCAAGAGTGACCAAAGTCAATTTTCTCCTAACAAAATCAATACATAATCAAGAGAAAATGTTGTGAGAATAAATAAAATGATCACCTGATGGGGAAAGCTTTGATCTACAAACAAATTCTCATAACCGGTTCTTTAGGGAAATATATGGAGATCAGTCTGGAGAATTGGTATTTGAATATAATAATGCGCCTTTAAGTGTTTAACAGTTGTAACAGCATTGTCTATTTAATATACATCGGCATGAAGTGAAGTGGTCTGCTGCAGTAAGTCGTGAAACAGATTACCTGAACTATTTCCATCTCTCCTCCAGTGGCAAAAACATCTCCATCATGGTCACCAAAAAGAACAAATCTTTTTACTGTTCCACAAATTAATGGTAAGGTCTGTTGCATCCTTATCTAAAATGGAATCAAGTCAGATAGGTTATTCAACTATAATTAAAGTCATTGAATAGAGGACAATCCTTCATACAGTGGCAATTATGGTGACCACAAAACAGCGAGCTTCAAAAGGCATTAATTTTTCCAGCAAAATTCCCAGGGGTGGGTGAATGGGTGATTTTACTACATGTACCCTACACCATTATTGTAACTGGCACATTGAAAGACAATCATACTCTTAAGAAGCTTGCATGGTATAATAATATTTCATTTACATGTAGTTTAAGAAAGCCACATATTGTACAAAAGCAAAGTAGAAAAAAGTCACATTATCAAATGACCGTATTCACCAGCTGTCCTGCTTTGAAGACCTTTCCATATCCTACTCAATAGGTTAAAAACACACCATGGACTTTGAATTCACTTCTGTGGCAGGTCTGGCCGCTTGATTTGCCCTTGATATCCTAAGAACTTGACCTAGTAGTACATGTAAGAACAAAGTATTTGACTCAGTCAACAAACTCAGAAATTAAAAAAAGGAAAAATACCATCAGAAATATTCCACCCATTGTCGATTTGCTATTACACCAGTGATATACCTAATATTATATCCAAGACTGAAACTTTGGCAGCCATGTTTAATCTATAGACAAATAGTAGATGAAGAGTGCTCTATCTTTTGCACTGTACATGCCCATTAATCAAAATTTCTAAAGACATAAATGGTAAACAAAAAAAGAAGAGGAGAGAATATAATAATAGTCTTTTAGAGCATAGGAGAAAAAAAACTGTCATCCTGTACTGTTAATTGTACAGGGTATGACAATAATAGGGCATCAACCTGTCAGGCTGGCATATTTTAGTTACAAGATGCCCTGCATGACAGCCAAGCACATTTTGTGGAGAAAAAGTATGTACTAGAAAGACGAGTTTGGTAGGCCTGCACAACTGCTCTTTGGCAACAGCTTGCCTGAGGGATAAATCATCTTTTAAATTTTCATCTTAGCCAGCATCACCTATTTGTCATGGTTCTTATGGCACCGTCTCACCCAGTCATAAAATGCTCTTGAAATGTTCACCCTTTGCTCCTGGAGGGTTAAAAAATAATATGAGATATTACACTTGCAATTACTTGAACCAGGGCACTTGGATGAAAGTAATCTATTCACTATGTTTACGAAAAAAACTGCAGCAGTTCTGAAGTTTTTGGTAAACTGACTGCTGACATGAAAGTATTTGAACAGTAATACAGAGGAAGGCTTCTTTCAAACCTTGTTGGTACAGACATACCGGTACTCTATTTCACTGAAATTTCATTGACACCCCTTATTATTTGGGCATAACTCAAATGAAGTTTTCAAGATCACTTCTTTGTTGCATTAGGCACGCAATACGTGCAAACATAAACAAGCCAAGTGATGTGTGCCGCATAAACGACTCACACAAGGCAAAAAGCACGCCAGAAAGAAAGCTCTGCTTGCAGGACACTTATCCCACTTAAATATTTCTAAATGCTACCAGGCCTCTGAATAATTATTCAACATCCAAACAGACCTCAACCTCAATTATCGGTGTATCATGTAGCGCTGGAAGCATTGACGTGCTGTCAACCGAAGGATTTTTTACCTTCAAAAAGGAAAGGTCTATAACAGCACACAGTTGATAACAAGTGACAGTGTCCACATTAGAGAGGTTGGCTTTTTATGAATATTCGTTGATAGGGCAAGAAATAAGTGTCTGTCTGCATTAACATGCGTCTGTATTAAGTGAATTGAAATTAGAGAAATTGTAAGGGCTTTCCCTAGGGACATAGAGAACTGTCCATAATAACAAGGTGTCTGTACTATTTAATGGGTGTCTGTAAAGCGGGGTTCGACTGTACAAAATTAATAAAGGAATTAGATACAGTAAATAAAACATTTGACACTTGAACTTGGCCTCATATCATTACACCCACCCCTCCTAAAATGATTCTGCTGAAATGGTATTCTTGCCTTTGATCTTTACTTCCAGATCCATAAATGTCAGCTTGTTTGTACTGACTTGAAAAGTGTCACTTGTCCTAAGACAACCTGAAAACCTACAAAATTTTAAAGCGAAGTAATTCAGTGGCAGCTGAAGCAAAATCCAAGGGAATATCACCGTATCAAACATTTGAATAAAATACCCAATTATTATGATGAGAAATCAAATGAAAACACCACCACATAATTATGGGTACACACTGCACACTGTAATACCGCACTAACCAGGCACAAAAATACAAACATACAGCAGTGTAATATAGAATTTTCTTTGAATAATTTACTACATCATTATTATTTCTTCCTTAAAGGTCAGTACTGCCAAAGAGGTATCATTGTTGAGACTGCCAATGCCAGGTTTTAGCCAAAAGGGTGTCCAGGCGTCCTATGGACATCTATTTTAAAAAACAGGAAAATTCACTTAATCTCCTATAATTATTTTTATGGAAAAACTTGCCTTCAGGATAGCCAGTTTAAAATGTCTGGCTAAAAGCCTGCTGCCTCGCTCTGCAGGCTGAAGATTTAAGGCCTGTGTGCTCCTTGCTGAGGCCATACAGTGCACATAATATGACAGAAAAAGTGGCAGCTATTGTAAGTTTTAACAAGGGCCTCAAACTAAAGTAATACATGCACTAATGAGCAAATGCTTTATTATTATTACCCGGTAGATACCTGCTGTAACACTCCATTGGAATAGTTATCTTCTTTGGGGGCTGACACCATTCAAGTCTGACACAAAAGAATAATAACAGGATCAGCATGATTTTACAATTCCCAGTTTTTACAATTACTGTAACGTTCAAAGTTACACACCAGTGTAAGTGTATGGAATTAGCCTTCCATTCCAGTAGCATTCAAATACAGGTCGGTTTCCTCTAGGAGCACGACTGTCCTTTTCAAACTCTTCTACAAAAATAATAATCAAATGTTTTTTTAGAACATTGCATCCATTGTAACTTTACTATCTAAGGCTTTGTTTTGAAGCATAAAATCACATACATTTTCAGGTGGCCATACCCAGGGACATGCCTCGGCACTGCACTTTGAATGAGAAAGACAATGTATGAGAAAGCCAACTACATTATAAACATTCATGTTGCATACATATGATAGATTTCTAATCGGTCAGTGTAAAATGCAGACTGCGGACTGCAGACGGAAGACTGCGGACCAGGGGTAAAATGCAGACTGAGCGTAAAATGCAGACTGCAGACTGAGAGTAAAATGCAGACTGGGGTAAAATGCAGACCGAGCATAAACTGTAGTTGTGGAAAGGTTTAAGGGTCAAAAAATCTCGCAAATACATGTAAACGAACACTTACTTGGATGAGTAGCACGATCACGGTACCCATTTCTGTAACATGCCAGAAAAATATGAAATTTGGTATTTTGGGGCAAAATCACTTCTAAAGGTTTATTTTACACTCAAACTTACTAATCTTACTGATTTTTGAAGAAATATTACATTTTCGTCTTGTTTAACTAAATTTTCAATTTTCCCATGATCCCTTGTGGGCGTGGTCTTTTTATCAAATAATCAATTCAAAGTTCACAGGTTCAAGTAAAAAGTAAAAATGAAACGTTTTGCACTACATGGAGGCCATTATCTCCTCATCAAGTGAACACCACATTGGTCACACTCTCTTTCCAAACATGCCATTTTATGGTACGGATCTTCTTCTGCTTTAGGACAAAGAGTCATTTCAGCAGCCTCTGTTACAGTGGCAGGAACATGAAGCCCTTCATCCTGATCTTTATTCTTTAAGGCAGCCTTGCGGAATTTCATGCAATCTCCGAAGATGATCTTTATTTCTACATGTTTCCTGCAGAGACAAGACTTTCTATCGCGTTCTTTGGCACCTTTTACAAAGAAAGGCTTCAGCGATTCAAACTTTCTCTGCTTTATTTTCATGTCAGGGTGTTGTGCCTTGAATTCCAAGAAAGCTTCCGTCTGAGACTTTTCCAGTATGTGCTTTGCATGTTCTGTGTACTGGTTTTTCCCTGTGCGATAGCGAACGAAATCTTTTTTGTCTCCAGTTGGACGACTAGCTTGTGTTGTCCAGAAATCATATACTTCTCTTTTGACTTCCTCAGGAACTGCATCAAACCTTACTTTCCTTTTGGAAACGAGCCAACTTGGTTCTTCACCCTTTAAGATTTCCATCCTCCTCTTGATGCCACGTCGAATACTTTTTCGGTTCAATGATACCACTTTGGAAAGAGAACGTTGAGCACGAGACCTTTTAACGTTTTCTCCAAAAGCAAGAGATTTGAAGGCTCTCAGAGCTGCTCTTTTCTCGTTGGAACCACTTTTCTTCACCTGCTCCAAACCCTCTGAAATGTCGGCTGCCATTGCTCTCAAAGACCTTGTTTCTTTTTCTTCTGCTGGAGTCTTGAATGTTCCCGCCTTAATAAGGTGTTTTCTTGTTCTTGGACTTGCACTTATCTTCTGAATTATCTCAGCACGCTTTTTTGGAGTTTCAGGCAACGCTGTTGTAACTTTCCTAACTGCTCTACTTGCCGCCATTCTGTTACTGAAGCCCGCAGCATCACGATTGGAGAGATCGTCCGCTTCTCCTTCTTCAGCGATTTGCTTCCTTTTTTCTCTAAACTTCTTTACTCTCTCTCTTGTTTGCTGTCTTTTTCTTTCCATCTTCGATTCCAAGGCAATTTTCTTTTCTTTTGTTCCTTGAACCCGCTCCAATCTTTTGGTTACTTGCGCTGCTCGTTGCCGAGTTTGTTGAACACGTGTTTTGTTTAGCTGCCGTTTTTCTTTAGCATATGTAGCTCTCTTCTCACGATTCTTTTCATTGTACCTTTTGTTCTTCTCTCTGTTCTTTTCCTTTTTTTTCTTCCTCCACTCTTTGATCCGCGAGAGCTTTTCTACCTTTTCTTTAACCATAACAATAGGACGAAACAAAAGCACGAGGCAAGCGATATTTACAGATTGCTCAATTCACGGAAAATTAGGGCTCTGAAAAACGCCTTAGGCCTCCCCGGACAGTATCATATCTGGAGAGGTTACTAAGCCCTTTTTTCGACACGAAAGCATGGCGTCTTCGCGAAGTAAACTTCAGATTTCTGAACGCTTTTCGCGGCGTTAAGCGCCGCACTTGGTTTCAACATGGCGTCAATATGTTGAAAATCGTAGCGACTCGATCTTAAGCTAATATTTCGGCCGTTTTTAAAGCTATGAGGACGAAATTATGGGAATAACAAGGGGAACTTGTGAGCATTCACAACTGCTCGGTTCCGAAACCCAATTGTACTTCGTTTGGATTATAGCGATGAAGGAAAAGGTGAGTTCTTGAAAAATATTATTGCGTAATCGCGTTTCAATAAACAGTAGCGACTTCTTTGAACTTTAATTTCTCCATTTGTACTAGATGCTTTTGACTGATTTTTCCGTATGTTAAAACAAAGCGTATGAGCATTTAGTTGATATGTTTATATTCCCCCAGGTATCAAGTTCAGTCCTGCTATCGACAACAACTTGGCGAACCTCCAAATTCTGAAACGCAGCGTTACAGAAAGGATACTCCAGAATGATGAATCCTTTTAATGTGTTTAAATAAACTGAAAATGTTGAAGTTTTGCTCAAATGTAGTGTTAACTGTGTGTTTTCATTAGGTGTAATCCGTTTGTCCAGGCGAGCTTCCATTTCTAAACAAAAAGATTTTTGAAAAAATTTACCCCAAGACTGTGTTACGCGTTACATTCAAATTGTGCCCAATTTTCTTTCTTTTCCCGTTATTTTCTCAAAAATAGTAATGTGGTTTACCCTTTTTACACTTTCATATTAATTAACAAAGACAACCTTAGCTGTAAGCAAAAATCTGGCTTTATTGAGGATGTTAAACAGAAGAAATCAGTGAAAGTTTTTCTACCAACCCCAAATGGGCATGGTGATTGTGCTACTCATCTTGATGACATCTGCTTTCACAAATCCATTGAGGACTTTCTTCTCTAGAACGTTGTCGACGACCCAAAAACATATAATCGCTGAATCTTGAACCTTTTTTCCGTCCGAGAGACCTCACGCTTCAAGTTTAGACGCGAAGTTTTCAATATACGTGACCACGGACCGTGAATTGTTACAACACCACGATGTTTACGCTGCTGACCCAAAATTCTGTACAGGAAGAATTATGCTGAAAAAAAGGGAGTAAATCATTCCAACAACAAAGAAAGATGTTCTGCAGGAAATTTGGATGACCTTCTATGAAAGTATTGCAAATCAAGGTACGCAGACTTAACCTGTTCAGATGTTCATTGAAACTTCTGGCGAATGTGCAATCCATGCACTTCAACTAGGAAGCGAAGTGTGTAACTGATACCGGCTAGCTATTTCACCGATTTGGAGAAGAAGGAGCACAAATGTTTAAAAAAGTCTACAGTCTTTATTCTGCATTTTACCCCAGTCTGCATTTTTCTTTCAGTCTGCAGTCTGCATTTTACACTCAGTCTGCATTTTACCCCTGGTCCGCAGTCTGCAGTCTGCAGTCTGCAGTCCGCAGTCTGCGTTTTACACTGACCGGATTTCTAATCTCTAAAAAAATATAAGATTTTTCTAGAAATTGCGTTGATTTCCAGCAATTCCAAAGTAATGTTATGAAGAGAAATGATTGAATGAATGAATACCTTATTTATACTCGGTTAAAAACAACAGTCTAACATAGAAAATTAATTAAAAATTCTCAAAAACTGTTTTACATATTTGCCGTGTGGGAGTACTGATCAGAAAACCATCTATGGGAACTTCTCTTAAAGAGACCTAATAAGGAATTTGATGTGCGTAATTCCTCAGGAAGATTGTTCCATAGAAGAGCACCACTGTAACTTAAGCTAGCTACGTTTCTGGTATGATGCGATCAGTTCTTGGTTTTGGGAGCATTAATTCCCAGATTAGTCAATCGATAAAAATCGGTATTGATAAAAAATTAATCTGTAGCAATCAAGTGATTTTTATCGATTGATAATGGAAATCGGTGAAAATCAATAAACTGAATTGCTGTGTCCATCAATTTTTCATAGTCTTAACGATTTGTAACTGAAATCTGCCATTGTGTTCTTTTGGCACGAGTTAGATAGTACAGCTAAAAAAACTCATCCACGAGTAACAACTGATCAGCAAACATGGAAACGAGAAATGTGGAAACTATTACAAACTCAACTTTCTCTCTAAAACCCTTTATCTTGTAAATTATAACAAAAACGGTTCGGTTTTTAATCAGTTCTAGCAGGCAAGTATCACGAGAAATACATCCTTAGGTAATAAAGATTTCCCAGCCTAAATTTCAGACAGTCCTTATAATCAAGTGGGGATTCAGGCAAAAAGATTTTCCTCAATCAATTTTCACTGTTTTCCGATATCAGTCGATAAAAATCACTTGATGGCTAACAATTTTTATCGATTTCGATTTTTATCTATTGACTAGTCCGGGTCCTCCAGGATGTAACTACACCCAGATCTACACTAACATTATATTGAAAGGGTGGTAGATTCAAATCCTGAAAAACTGGAAGCCTACAGACCTGGCCAATATCAGCCATCAGAAGAAGATTTTAATCCTGATTTCAAGAAAAGATAAGATGTTTTTAAATATTTCTTTATAAGTGATGTTTGATAAACAATATAATGTGATAAATGTTTGATCCTGTGACTCTCAATTGCCACCCATTGTCAATAAAATTAAATTTACTGTTTGCATGAATTCAGTTTTAATATTTTGATGAACAGAATGTTTCTTTCGATATGAATCGATGAAATCAGTAGAAATCAAGATAAATTGATAAACGAAACGAGTGTGTCATCGATTTCTACCGATTGACAGATACAATCGATATCAATCAAATCAGATTTACCGATTTTCATTGATTTATCAAATGACAAATCGATACCGATTTTTATCGATTGACTACTCCGGGATTAATTTTTCCTTCGCGTTGCGGAAAGTAATTTGGTGTTCTTGGGGCAAACAAATTACAGAGATAAGCTGGGGTAAGATTATTGATGCCTTTACATTAAATTAGCCTTTTGTTTAGCCCTTCCAACTGATAAAATAATTGTCCCAACCAAGCGAGTGAAGAAGAAATCTGGAACTAGGATCATAGCTACAGTAGATTTGGTGATTACTCTGATAGCACGATTTTGAAGTTTTTCAAGTTTTTCACTAAGCTGTTGGGTCAAGCCATCCCATTAACAGCCCTGCAATAATCGAAGTGTGGCTCGATAAGACCTTTGTATACATGTATTTTAATTGCAGTGTACATTGAAACAAATGGCCTGACCTGCTTAATAGTACCAATACCAGAGGATACTTTTTTAGAGATTTCATGGATGTGGGCCTTCCACGAGAGATCTTCATCAATGATAAGCCCGAGAGATTTGCTTTGAATGCTTTGGTTTATTGGGATGCCATCTATATAAATGTTCATTGTGTAGTCATTTAAGGACTGTAGTTTCTGTCTCGAGCTAACAACCATAAACTCTGTTTGAGACTTAACTTATTAGCTTTGAGCCAGCATAAGCTTGCCCATCAAGGTAAACTGACAGATACAACTTTATCTCTTTCTTTTAAAGGGATAAGCAATATTTTATAGTTTAGGTTGCTTTGTACATAGTTTACTGTGTTCTAATTCGAGATAGCCTGTGTACAGACGACCCCCTCCCTCAGAAAAAAACCGGAGAAGAGACGTCTGTGAATTGCCACCGTTAATTGTGTTTCCGTTTCCCCAGAATGTTGGGGACAGACCCTGATTGGTTGTAATGTTAATGCCATGACGCAAATAATTTCCGGTGCTGCGATTGGTGAATGAATCTCAGACTAGATTCTCTGGAGAAAAAACTCACCCTTTGTGGACAGCTTACTGCATTTATATTTGTTTACTTGGATTTCCGCTCTCTGGAATAGGCATGTGAAATTTAAAGACCACTGATGTTTGATCATCATGTCTTCAAAGTGCAAGCGATCCGTTTTTTCGATAAAAGATTAACAGTCTATAATTGTGCGATTAGAGAAAGGAGAAAAAGGAACCAATTTGTCAGCTTAATATGGTGTTAGTAAGCAGCAGATCTCTGATATCGGCAAGAACAAGGAAACGAGCATGAAGTTTGCTGACATCTTAGAGACCAGCGAAAGAGTGAAGCGAAAATTGCTGAAAGTTGCACATGATGAACAGCTCGATAAAGCCCTGTATGTCTGGTTTATTCAGCAACGAACATCTGGCACTCCAATTTCTGGCCCCCCAAACGATTTGCAATAGTTTTGTTTCACAATTAAATGTTGTTTCCTCAATTCAATCAGTTTTGTTCTTCATTAATATTCATATATTTGATTATCCGGACCCTCGATTATCCGGACTATTAATTTCGTCTGGTCCCAGCGAGTCTGGATAATCAAGGTTCGACTGTACACACATCCAGATCAAGAGAAGTGGAAAAAGTGTTTAGAAAGTGCCATTTACGTCACACATGAATCAGTGATGTCAGCGAAGACATCTACATTTGAAAGCTGGAAAAAGACAAACAAATATCTCCCAATTTATTCTTTAAATACAATCCTAACATGCCGGGATTTGCAAGAAGTGGGTGGGGAAATTACCAGGAACAAAATTGTTCACTACTGGTTCCAAGAATATAAAATCATCAGCCATTGCTGAACATGTACAAAGCAAACTTATTGAATATTCATTATTGACAGCCAAGGAAAAAATAAGCCTTGATAATAATAGCCTAGAGATTCAGGCTAAAAGCTGTGATTTTATTTTGAACCCTGATCAACAGTCGCAAGTCTCCCAGATGCACCGACTGAGCTGCAATGTTGCCAATATCTTGCATTGGCTGCTGTGGCAAAGTCGAAGCATATATAACCTGCTGCAACTCAGCCAACAAAACGGCAG